CCCCCCCCCCCCCCCCCATGTACTTTATAATTTATGCTTTTTCAAATACAGATACACACTTTGAAAGATTTTTCTTTTTTTTTTCCCTGAGCTGAAGCTGGGTTGTAGCAGTGCCAAGGCTGAAGGATTGTTTTGTACGGTGCTTGCTGCAGCCGCAGGAAGATTCTCCCTCCCCCTTCTCCGGTAGAGAGACTGTAGGATGAGGGAAGTGGGTACATCAGATGAAACTGGAGTGTTTGCAACGATAATCTGAGGTTTTTCCTTTCATCTTTTCCTCAAGGGCTCTGGAACGTAGACCTAGTTGCGCTGTGTGCCAAGCCAAGTGGGACTGGAGAGGGCAGAGACTGGAAGAGACGCTTCCAAAGAATTTGTGAGACAGAATGGGCCGTCTGTCCCGCTCCTGCGAGTGGCACGGCAGCGGCTTCGTGCTTCCTCACACGGGGAATCATAGAATTCGTAGAATCATGGAATTGTCAGAGTTGGAAGAGACTTTATCTAGTTCTAACCCTCCTGCCATGGGCAGGGACATCTCCCACTAGATCAGGCTGCCCAGAGCCCCATCCAGCCTGGCCTTAAAAACTCCCAGGGATGGGGCTGCCACCCCCTCTCTGGGCAACCTGTGCCAGGGTCTCCCCACCCTCATGGGGAAGAACTTCTTCTTCACGTCCAACCTGAACCGACCCATCTCCAGCTTCGATCCATTTCCTCTAGTCCTGTCACTGCCCGACACCCTAAAAAGCCCCTCCCCAGCTTTCTTGTAGCCCCCTTGAGATACTGAAGGCCACAATAGGGTCTCCTCGGTGCCGCCTTTTCTGCAGACTGAACAGCCCCAGCTCTCTCAGTCTGTCTTCATAGCAGAGGTGCTCCAGCCCTCTGAGCATCCGCCTCCCACCTGGCAGAGCTGGGCGAGAGGAGATTTTGGGGTGGGTTCAGGGGAAGCTGTTGGGTTCCCAGGGCTGTTGTTGTTCCACCATGAGGTTGGGCTGAGCTAGGCGTGCAGCTTGGGTCAGCTCCTCCTAGAGCTGGGGTCAGGCCGTGGTTGGTCATACAGCCTGGTTCAGGAGGCTCTGGTGGCCATCCTTAGGTTGTGTGATGAGAGGGTGCTGCCATGGCAAACCGTCCTGGCCTGAAAATTGAGGCTTTAGTTGGCAGCTCTGACCAAGCGAGGCTGTCACGCTGTAATTGGAACAGCCTGCACTGAAACCCACACAGCGGCCGTTCTCAGCGGAGCCTTTGCAGCCGTTGGACTGGAGACAAGAAATTAATTCTGGTGCATCTGCCGCCGCTGCTCAGCAGAATGAGGAAGACAAACGCAGCGCTCCCTTGAGCCCTGTAGCCAGCCGAAGCTGAAGATCTGTCTGGACATCCCAGCCCATCTCCTGCCGGTGTAACCGTGGAAGCCTTGGAAGCTGTCACGTGTTGGTTGAACAAATGAAACCTCTGAGAAAAGGTAAAACTTCTCACCCAAGCAGGGAAGACTGATTACTGCTGCTACATTAAGTGCCTACAGAGGAGGCCTGAAGGTGATGGGCTCTGCTGTGGTCTTAAGAAACGTGGACTGTGATACTTTGATAGCAGACTGTGATGGTTCAGGGTTGCTGGATCAGATCTCTGGTTGATTGATTTGTCTTGGGTCCAGTTCAGGAGTATTTTGCAGGCAGAGGCACTCCAGGGAGGTGGCTTATCTAAAAGGATACCCAAGAGAAGGGCTGGGGCTAGAACTTGGTGGGAAACTAGGAACCAGGGAACTCCAGCAGGGTCTGTTGTAACAGCGGTTGTTCCTGTCTGACATGCACGAAGAACAACATGTGCCTTTTTTAATATGTGAACACCCAGATAAAATTCAATTGTTCCATCTTGTTGTCAAGGGGTAAACACAGAAACTTTTAACACAGGAGAAAGAGACCTCAGTTTATTATTATACCTGGAAAAAATCAGGCTAGTTTGGTTTTTTTTTTTCCTAGTAAGAGATAAGGCTGAAAGTAACTTTTAATTTTTCTTCTTTTTTGACTCCTTGTGGAAAAGGCATTCCATAATCCCTTTTCTTCTTGTCTTCATTCAGTTTTGTATCAGCAAAACTTCTGCTTTCTTGCTCCAGCCATACAGTGGGTGGGTCCAGCCAGCCCTGAGCACGTTGTGTCTGTCAGCGAGACAGAAAGGCTAAAGACACACGTGTTCTTACAACTGCAGGTCTCCCAGGGGCGGGGGAGTGGGAATGGGAGCGTATAAAACACGTTAGCTTCTGCTGGGAAACAGCTGTCGGCCCAACAGCTGCCGCGTCCCTCATCGCTAACCCGCAGCGACTTAACGTCGTGGGCGAACAAGGAAAGAGCTTTGAAACGTGCTCCGTGCTGAAGGGGTTGGGGAGCAGCAGCACTCCTCCTGCTTGCGGGAGTCGTTCTCGCAGCTCTCTCTTCCCGTGAGACCCAACACCTCCCGCCAAAGGGCAGCTGCTGCTGGGGGGGTGGCTGCCTACACGGAGGAGGTGAGGGGTTGAATGTTGCCGTTCTTACCACGGTAAAACAAGCGAGCCTGTAAGACAGCCTGAGCCTTGCTGGTTAATGAATGCTGCTAATAGTGTGCCCAAATTGGGGATAAAATGAAATAAGCAGGTGATAAGGATTGTGAACCTACTGGGTTGCAGCGTAGTGGAGCAAATCCTACCTGCGCTTGAACGTGACTCTCAAGCTTATCTTTTGTTGACACCTCCAGGTGGGGAACATGCAACCCACCGTAGCATTTCTGAGCCATCCATCTGGCACAAACGTTCAGGTGACACTCAGCAGCTCTCAACATCTAGAAAGTGAAGTTTCTTTTAACGTTACAAAGCACGACCTCCAAGTGAAGGGACACAGCTCATGGTGTGTCCGAGTTACATATTCACACCTTTGGGCACCGACAAGGAGCCATGGGGGTTCCTTGCCTGTTGAAAGCCCTTTACTTGGCTTGGTAATGAGGTGATTGCACTCACCCTGGAAAAACAAGCTGGTGGTAGCACTGAAGCGAAGTGCCTGCAGGTTACTGTTAGTTGGAACGGACAATAAAAGGGACTCACGAGCTTGCAGTGCCTCTGAGGGAAGCCTGCTCTTGGTGGATCTCTTCCTCAGAGGCGTGTTCCCTAGTGCTTGCTCTGCACAGGGTTGTCTTCAGCAGTGGTTCCAGCCTCGGGCACAGTTCAGGTCTTGCTGTGAAGGTCAGTGATCGGTAACAGCACGACTGATGCGATTTGTTTAGGGGCTGTGCAAGGACTTGACCTGTTTCCCTGCACCAGGAGCACTCATCACCACAAAAGAGTCCGCAAGACCTGTCCTCTGTGAATGACTTCCCCACGTGCAGCACGGGCGGGAGATCCTGCCTGGCCTCTGCTCTGTTCTGCTTTAGTACAAATCTCTGCAGCCAACCTCACCCTGCGACAGTTAAAAAGAAAAAAAATCCTACTTTTCCATCCTCCCTTAACTTGCTGAAGCCCGTCAGGACATGTAATTAATCCTCGCGTTTCAGTTAAGACCTTCATCATCAATATCATTTCTCCTCCCATTCCTCCTCTTCTGTTGCAGC